TATCTTTTATGGTAATATTCTATACAAAGCACAAAAATTTCATCATTCACCTCAAAAGCTAACCAAACCTTTAAACAGACTTATTGAGAAGGGATATAGTTACGATACTATGTCAGGTCATAAAAGATGGCATTTTTTGGAATTAATATTGATTCACTCATAGGGTCTTTGAATCGGAAATAAACACATTTATTCTAAAACCAGTTGTTGGCATGATATGGGTTATGTTCGTCTCTTATATTTTATGATGGTATGATACTAAAGGGAGGGATTGTGCTTGGTTTTCATATGATGAAGACATAATCTTTCAATCAGTTCAATTGAGGTCTGGACTCTGGAGCTGGCATGTCAGAAACTGCTAGTAGTCCTTTGTTAATTTATGTTGATCCTTGTCATTTTGCTTAGTTTCTTCTGTTACCTATTCAAACATCGGACTAGGACTTCTTTTAAACTGAGTTTTACTGTGTGTATTGCTGTGTGTTTGTTTATTCTACATTGGCTAGAGGTATAGGGGGAGGGTTGACCCTTGTGACCATGTATGTATGCTCATACCACTGTGACCATGTATGTATGCTCATACCACTGTGATCATGAATGTATGATCATACCACTGTGACAATATATTATCATACCATTGTGATCATGTATGTATGATCATACCACTGTGATCATGTATGTATGATCATACCACTGTGTTCGTGTATGTAGGACCATACCACTGTGATCATGTATGATCATACCACTGTTACAATGTGAGATCATACCACTGTGATCATGTATGTATGATCATTCCACTGTGATCATGTATGTATGATCAAACCACTGTGACAATGTATGATCATACCACTGTGATCATGTATGTATGATCATTCCACTGTGATCATGTATGTATGATCAATCCACTGTGACAATGTATGATCATTCCACTGTGATCATGCATGTATGATCATTCCACTGTGATCATGTATGTATGATCAAACCACTGTGATCATTTATGTAAGATCATACCACTGTGATCATACCACTGTGATCATGTATGTATGATCAATCCACTGTGACAATGTATGATCATAACACTGTGATCATGTATGTATGATCATTCCACTGTGATCATGTATGTATGATCATTCCACTGTGATCATGTATGTATGATCAAACCACTGTGATCATACCACTTTGATCATGTATGTAACATCATACCACTGTGATCATGTATGTATGATCATACCACTGTGATCATACCATTGTGATCATGTATGTATGATCAAACCACTGTGACAATGTATGATCATACCACTGTTACCATGTATTTGACCTGTTGATACAATTTGTAATGCTTTTTTGTTTTTTAATGTTTACTTATTTAAAGTTATATCTCGTCTCTTTATTTTAATATATACCAGCTTTGAATTGTTTGGTATGACTATAAATTTTCACTCCTGTTCTTGTGCTATGAACAACAAAATTATTTATTTTGTAAAAAATATTTCCGTTCTCCATTACTGTACAAAATTATTTTCATTAACCTGTGTAAATTATTCTATTTGGCAGCACTTTGTTCAAAGTTATGGTTGTCTGAAATTGTTTAACATCTCATCTCTTATTTTATTGATTTTGTATTTACATTGTGTCATAGATCAAATTTATTCGTTCAGTGTATAGTCACTTGTTTGAGTTAATATGTCTTTTGATTGAGTTAAGCCATTTCAATTGATATTTTATAGTGTGTCTTTCTATGTTGTGATGTTACACTATTGTTTCAGGTAAGGGTGAAGGTTGGTACCTATTAAAATGTTTAAACCCTCTGCATTTGTTTGCACCTGTCCTAAGTCAGGAACCTGATGTTCAGTGGTTGTCGTTTGTTGATGTGGTTCATAAATGTTTCTCGTTTCTCGTTTTTTATATAGATTAGACCGTTGGTTTTCCCGTTTGAATGGTTTCACACTAGTCATTTTTTGGGGCCTTTATAACTTGCTGTTTGGTGTGAGCCAAGGCTCCGTGTTGAAGACCGTACTTTGACCTATAATGGTTTACTTTTACAAATTGTGACTTGGATGGAGAGTTGTCTCATTGGCACTCATACCACATCTTCTTATATCTATGTATGATCATACCACTGTGATCACGTAAGATCAAACACTGTGAACAATGTAAGATCATACCACTGTGATTATGTATGATTATACCACTGTGACCATGTATGTATGATAATACCACTGTGATCATGTATGATCATACCACTATAACAATGTATGATCATACCACTGTGATTATGTATGATTATAACTCTTGGACCATGATGTATGATAATACCACTGTGATCATGTATGATCATACCACTACAACAATGTATGATCATACCACTGTGACGATGTATGATCATACCACTGTGACGATGTATGATCATTCAACTGTGAAGATATATGATCATACCATTGTGATCATGTATGTTTGATCATACAAGTTTGATCATTTAAGTATGGCCATATCACTGTGATCATGTATGTTTGATCATACCACTGTACTTATGTATGTATGACCATATCACTGTGATAATGTATGATCATACCACTGTGACAGTGTTTGTATGATCATATCACTGTGATGACATATGATCATACAACTGTGACGATGTATAATCATACCATAGCCAACATGTCTGTATGATCATTCTAGTGTGATGGTGTATGATCATACCATTGTTGTGAAATATAATCATATCACTGTGAAGCTGTATGTATGAACATATCACTGTAATCATGTATGTATGATCATTTTACTGTGAAGATGTATGATCATACCACTGTAGCAATGTATGATTATACCGCTGTGATTATGTATGAATGAGCATGCTATTGTTACGGGACGGGAGGGTGTGTTCCATAAATAAAAAGTATTTATTCAGGTTAACACCATGTGTTCTTTTAATGGTAAATTCTAATATCTGTTAACCCTGCTTTTGAGTTACAAACTAAGTGTACTGGTAGCGTAGCAGGCTAAATGGTCAAGTCAAAGGTAGTGTAGCAGGCAAAACAGAAAAGGCATTGGTTTCAATTTACTGTTAACCAACTAATTTTCGCGAGCGATTTATTTTCGCGACTTTCGCGAGTGGAAAAATGACGTGAAAATAAATTGTCGCGAATATATAGCACTGGGGTCTTCTCTCATATAGTTACACCAAGAAAATGAATAAACCGCGAAAATAAATCGCCATGAAGTCGGCTGACAATCGCAAAAATAAGTTGGTTTACGGTAGGAAGCTCAGAAACTCATTAACATTGACTTACTTATCACATGTACAACAGATAACAAGATTGATTTAAGCTTTACAATTTATTATAAATAAAATATTCAATACTATTACAAGTATAAATTACATGAAAACCCACCAAATCACTTAAGTTATGAAATATACAGAGACCCCCCCCCCCCCCCTTTTTGGTACGTTAATCATTTGTCAACATCGTAGTAAACGTAGTAAAACATCTAGGTCAATCATGGCGAGGTCCATTTGTACAACGGGAATGCATACACTATCAAAGGTTGGTGTATTTTACGGGTTGCATCGACTGCGGCGTATCTGGTTTGTTCTGGTAATTTCCTTGGTATCAGGAGTGAACGCCCTGGTAGCTGGCCGCAGTCTCCTTGAAGACTAATGTGCACTAGCTTTTATACATCTGTCCCAACAAAGTCTCGTGCCCCTATGGTGATTGTGGGCAAATTACGTAAAGCTGATTGGATGCTGATCTCAGGTCATTAGGTCACGACGTCAATATTCTTGATGATGCAAATGGCGGCGATTGCGAATGTTGACATTCTGTCAAGTCGGGAAATGGACAAACGGTACTTAACTAAGCTTACTCTTAGCATGTATGGGCCGCGGTTACAATTTTTCAGGCCTTACGCAAATAAACTAGCAAGGTAATAAAGCAGGAACGTGTGAAATAAGGGTAAACAGAAGATGAGAACTGTCTTCAGTCAAGGGACCCCCCTGTTCAAACAGTGAAGACAAACTCTATATCTTTACTCCCAGATATCTTACAAACAATATTTACATACAATAACAATAAAAGTATATGTAATGTTCATCAAATGTCTTTATATACACGTTGGCTAACAGTAAACGATGGACGAGAAAATAGAAGTGAGTGTTTACTGATTAGCCCGAAAAAAGTTGTATGTACAAACCTACAGCTTAACCCCTAAACCGTAACACTATTATGACCATGTATGTATGAGCATGCTATTATGACCATGTATGTGTGAGCATGCTGTTATGACCATGTATGTATGAGCATGCTATTATGACTATGTATGTGTGAGCATGCTGTTATGACCATGTATGTATGATCATACCACTGTGTGAAATCAGCTATAATATATGTATGTTATAGGACCATATTGCTGTGAATATGTGTATCAAGTAATAAGATCACACCACCATGTATATAAGTGCCATCTTAGACTCAGTAATAAGTACATTGAATTATATATTGACACTAACTTTTCTGTAGACAGAAAACAGACATGATAATTGAAATATACTATAACAGAATGGACAATGTTATTTGGTCTCTGGTGGGTAGTTGTCTCGTCAACAATCATACAACATTTCCTTATTATATAACATGAAACTGACTTTGGTTGGATTCATGATCTTTGATATGTTGCAAGTTTTATTACTGGATATCAAATGTTGTATGCATTAGACCACCACTAGCTTTTGTCTAGGAAATACTACTGCTTAAGACATCTCTAAATATACACCAGCATGTTAAACTTTGTCATGAATCTAAGAAAAATCTATTTACCATAATTATTAATTTGTTACATTATTTGTAAAACTCCTCCCACAATGTTAAATTGTGGTGAACAAGATTGTTTTTAAATAACTGACTTACTACCTACAAAGTTTAATCGTGACACCTTCAATTTTATTGCATGTTAAAATGATAATTGATTTGTCCCCTAAGTAAATATGACAAATGTTATAACCTAACCTGTTCTCTTCCTGACATCCCATATGATGCCATGTGGTATACACAGTTAACTCCCTTGAAGGCCTCTTCGACTTCATCAAAATTTGTTATACTGCCCTACAATTAAAATTTGTAAAGTTTGTTATAAGCATACAAATAAGCAGACATTATTTTTTTAAGATAAAGGACAAGCGACAATAAGGCTGATCTTTAATCTCAAAAGGCTGAAAATGGTTCAATTACATTTGTACCATAAACCTCTTGTGATACATGTATTTAAAAGAGTACACAATCAGAAATGTCTTGCCTGCTATACTGATCATGATTGATTTTATGTTAAAAGTCTTTAAGATAGAGGTTTTACTACAATAATCATATAAACTTAACATAATCAATAATCAAAGTAAATTAGGTCAAGGTCAGATGAACCCTGCTAGATGGACATGTACACCTTACAATCATACATTCTTATGTTGTACTGTTACACCACTGTCCCAGGTTAGGGGGAGGGTTGGGATCCCATTAACATGTTTAACCCCGCCACATTCTGTATGTATGTGCCTGTCCCAAGTCAGTGGTTGTCGTTTGTGTTACATATTTGTTTTTCGTTCATTTTTTTTACATAAAATAGGCCGTTAGTTTTCTCGTTTGAATTGTTTTACATTGTCATTTCGGGGCCTTTTATAGCTGATTGTGCGGTATGGGCTTTGCTCATTGTTGAAGGCGGTACGGTGACCTATAGTTGTTAATTTCTGTGTCATTTGGTCTCTTGTGGAGAGTTGTCTCATTGGCAATCATACCACATCTTCTTTTTTATATGTATATAACAATCCTTCAAAGCACCAAAAATAGTTAACCTATTGCTTATAGAAATAGACTTAACCACGAAAACTAAACACTGACAAATGAGCCATGAAAATGGGGTAAAAGTCAGATGACTCTTGCCAGTCTGACATGTACACCTTACAATCATTCCATATACAAAATATAGTGGCCCTATTGCTTATAGTATCTGAGAAATAGACCAACCAAGAAAAAAAGTCAATGTCAAATGAAACTTGCCAGACAGACATGTACTCCTTTCAATCATACCATACATCAAAGACAGCTGATCTTTTGCTTATAATATCTGAGAAACAGACCAAACCACAATAAATTGCTTCGCAGAGCGCAGCTGGATACGACCGCAGAGGTCCAACCCTGAACAGTTGGGGCAAAAATGGACACAATATTCGCGCTTGATACAGGTCTGAATTTGGATTGTAATTAAATATTTGACACATAATAGGTTTCTGACACAGAATAACTGTAGTCAAAGAACTTAGAATTGGTTATATGATTTGAATTTATATTCAATTTTTTGCTTTTGTGCAATACATTTTGCTGTTGCGAATTGACCCCCCCCCCCTCCCCCACAAAAAAAAAAAAAAAATTACCCGCCTTTTTTTTTGCTTTTGTGCAATACACTATGCTGTTGCGTATTGACACCTCCCCCCCCCCCAATTTGTTAAAAATAGTTGAAGAATTTTTCTTTTTAATTTCTGAAATCTGAAATGAGAAAAAATTGACCCCCTCCCCCCCCCTTTTTCCCCCAAAAAAATTTCTTTCCCTCAATATATGGTCATAATCTCAATTCAAATTTCCAATGGAGTTTGCAACCATAATTACCCATTTAATTACATCATAAAAGTCTTAAAATAGAAAATGACATACATAATCATGGCTAAAATTAATATTCCTTAATAGTAACTTCCAAAAATAAATTGACAGCTAATCATCTCAAGACAATACAACATTTCTTTATACATAATTTAAAAGCAGTGTAAGGGAGGTAATCAAAACGTTGTGTTTGGACTACCTGCCTTACACTGCTTTTAAACTGTCTTAAGTAATTGTCCATTAACCAGGAAACCCTTGTTTTCCCCCTTTTTTGTCCCTAATTCTTAAACAGTTTGAGCCATAACCCCCCAAAGCAAATCTTAACCCTCCCTTTGTGGTATGGAAACTTGTGGTATTATTTCAGAGAGACCCATACATCATTCCACAAGTTATTGTCTGGAAACTAGAAAATTGCTTATTTGGGACCCTTTTTGGCCCCTAATTCCTAAACTGTTAAGACCATAACCCCCAAAATTAATCCCAACCTTCCTTTTGTGGTTATAAACCTTGTATTTAAATTTCATAGATTTCTATTTAATTATACTAAAGTTATTGTCCGGAAACCAACTGTCTTCGGACGACGCTGACGATGACGTGATACCAATATACGACCGCAAATTTTTTGCGGTCATATAAAAACTTAACATTAACCATGAAAATGAGGTCAAGGTCAGATGAAACCTGCCAGTCATACATGTTCTCCTTACAATCATTCCATACGCCAAATATAGTTGACTTATTGCTTATAGTATCTGAGATACAGACTTGACCACAAAAACTTAACCTTGATCACTGATCCATGAAAAGAGGTCGAGGTCGGAAACCCTGTCCGACAGACATGTAGACCTTGCAAGGATCGCATATATACCAAATATTGTTATCATATTACTCATAATAAGCAAGTATTTTACATAACAATACAACTATAAGAAATGTTCAGTCTCTGAACCACAAAATGAGGTCAAGGACAATGGACATATATATGATAAACAGAAACTTTGCAACATACCGGTAAGGCATTTGAATACAACATAACAAGGTATGAAGCATTATGATCTTTTACCATCTGAAATATTAAGCTTTAATCATGTTTACAAAGCTTCAGGATAAGCATCCGTACACCTCCCATTTCTGCGACTTTTGTCGCAGGCAAGACACTGAATGAGGTACAATATATGAAAGATGGGGTAAATTAAAAATTTTACATTCTGCTCACCAAGTGAGGCACTACCTACAAAGCAGACGATTGAGATTATTACTAAATTTTGACATTTTTCGCTCAAATTCAACACAGCTTTATGATTAAAATAAATGGGGAATGTGTCCATGGGACACAGATGATGCCCCCGCTTGCATATCATATAAAGTTATAAAGGGACATAACTGAAAACGGTAAAAGTGACTCTACCCAAATTTGTACTTGATCTGAGTTTTGTGGTAATAAGTAGTGTGTATAAGTTTAATAACATTTGGTTGAGGCAAACTTAAGTTAGAGAACGGAAACGAAAAATTCAGCAATTTTTCCATTTGTAAAGGGGTATAACTCTAGAACAGTAAAAGTGACACCACTAAAATTCAAACTTGATCTGTATTTTGTAGTAATAAGGATTGTGTATAAGTTTCATAACATTTGGTTGAGGCTAACTCAAGTGAGAGAACGGAAACAAAAAATTCAGCAATTTTTCCATTTGTAAAGGGGCGTAACTCTAGAACGGTTAAAGTGACGCCACCAAAATTCAATCTTGATCTGTGTTTTGTGGTAATAAGCATTTTGTATAAGTTTCATAACATTTGGTTGAGGCAAACTAAAGTTAGAGAACAGAAACCAACTTTGGAACGTACGAACGGACAAGGGTAAAACTTAATGCCCCCTCCACTACGGTGGGGGCATAAAAACAAAGCACATGTGTGCTTCTGAGATATTTCTGAGTACAATTTCTAAAAAAACATTACTTGTAACATGCAAAACTCTATTTTCCATTCCAATTTCTGTTAAAATATTTCCTTGTAACATACAGAAGCTCTTTATTTTCCATACCAAAATATGTTTCTTGCAAACTGGTCTTTACAATTCCTGTATGTTATCATAATTGATAGTATGATCTGTTGGAAAAAATGCAGCATAAGTTTGAAAAGAGGTTGTACACGATATTAACTTGACATGAGGTTATATATTCTATCAGTATACCATGAACTGACAGGGCCACTGATACTCTACCAAATTATTGTTCAGATATAAAACTGTACCTGAATAACAGTCATCCCATCTAGTAATGGCCACTCAAGTTGAATAAGATCAAAAAGAATCACTTGATGACCATTCTCTACAAGCTTCTTTCCGAGATGATATCCTGGGTATCCACAACCTCCTGTTACCAGGTGCACTTCTAATGAACCTCTGTTCCGCATTATTATCTAAAGCAGAATAAAATATCTAGGTTATTATTTACACTAAAATGGACATTCAACTTGGAGGCTCTATCATGTCAAATCTTTGTAAATCATCATTGAAGGCTGTACCGTGACCTATAATATTTTAAATCTATGTCATTTGGTCTAATGTGGATAGTTGTCTCATTGGCAATCATACTACATCTTTGAAAAAGTTCATTGGCATGTTAAATCTGTTGCAAATGTATAACCTATATGAATTGTCTTGAAACCATTATTACACTAGTACATTATTTTAAAAATATATTCACCTTACCTTAAACCAAGCCGAACTATACATGTAAAGGACAAAAAAAATAACAACACTGGATGTGATAGTTCAAATTGTAAACATTAAATATTGGTCAACTGGCCGGTCTTTATGAGGATAAGTGACCATTAGAGATTATATACTACATAGAACTTAAGGATATGCACTCACTTCATGGATGCAGAATATTGAATATCAAACAGTGATATGACTGGTAGTAAGAATACTAGTTAGTAGAAAGTTAATGATTACATGTATGTGTAGTTTGGAGTTAGTAATTTTCGCTGTTAAGTTTTCTGCTTGAGTTATATAAAAATAAGATGTTGTATGATTGCCAATGAGACAACTCTCCACCAGAGACCAAATGACATAGAAGTTAACAACTATAGGTCGCTGTACCACTTTCAACTATGAGCAAAACCCATACTGCATAGTCAGCTAAAAAAGGCCCCAAAATGACAAATGTAAAACAATTCAAACGAGAAAACTAATGGCTTGATTTATGTACAAAACAATGAACAAAAAACAAATATGATACTCAGCAACAAATGACTTAATTTGATAGGATATACTTGGTGATCTATAGATCAATGATAATTTCTATAAAGTTGCATTACTATCAGTACATATCAGTTTGACAACTATATATCTCTGTGTCCACAGTTTATTATATCCATAACTTAAGTGAAAAGTTCTTTTTATCATTTACACATAAATTTGAAACTGTGGTTTAATTCTCTAGTATTTAAATAACACTTTATATAAATTTGCATGTCCGAAGAGCTTTTCTTTTTTATCAAACTTCATCAGAAATGCTAAAACCTTAACAAAGAGCCTGTGTCACTCACCTTCAGGAATCTATGTGCATCTTGACATTCTGAACATTTTAACCACAGCAAATTTTCCCTTATCTGTATTGGTTTTCAAGACTATAGATGTCAACAAATTTATGATGTATGCCAAGTGATGACAATAGCTCACAATGGCCATTTGGGCAAGGTGAGCTAAAAAAAGTGATGCAGCATGATAACCAATTAGACAACTATCCTCAAAAGACTAAAATACAGATTTATATGATATAAATAACTACAGGTTACCCTTTAGTTTGTCAGGAAAGTTGTAAAATTTCAATAAAGAATTGTATTATAAATTCAATAAATAAATCATTGGCTCTTATTAAATAGGTTATAAATTTTAGTGAGTATTTGTGTTTCAATAAAAAATGAATCATGTACAATTTACATAAAATTCAAACAACAATTTGGTTATGAAAAATATCTTTCTTTGGTTAACTCAGAAGATCACTTCGTATATTAGTTATACATGTTATATCTGCACATATGCATCAAATTGAAATTACCAGGAAACAAAAGAATTTGTAAAAATTGCTCCTCTGGCTGTGTTGAAGATGAAATTCATTTCCTAATTACTTCATGATGTTCATGTGAAAATTTAGATCGGACAGAATTGTTCTCTTTAATTTTGTTAGCATAAAAGTTCTAAATTTTTCAATACTTCTCAATCAGCTAAATACAGTTGGAAATTGCCACCAACAACTACACATTTATTTATCTATCAAGCAGTGAAGACAAGAATTGCATTTTAACTATTAATTTGTATATTGTATGCCTGGGACACAGTCACTGTTACAATTTAAATTTCTTAATAGTACATGTATGCATCCTAAAACTTTTATAAAATTGAGAATGGAAACGGGAATGAGTAAAAGAGCCCAAAACCTGACCAAAGAGTAGAAAACAGCCCAAGGCTACCAATGGGTCTTCAACACAGCGAGAAAATCCTACTGCTGGCCCCCAAACAACAATGTATACTAGTTCAGCGAAAATGGACGTCACACTAAACTTCGAAACATATAAATGAACAAAAATACATACAAGAGTAACAAAGGCCAGAAGTTCCTGACTTGGGACAGGCACAAAAATGAGGCTGGGTTAAACGTGTTTTGTGAGATCTCAACCCTCCCCCTATCATACCTCTAGCCAATGTAGAATAAACAAACACACAGCAAAATGCACAGTTAAACTCAGTTTAAAAGAAATCCGATGTTAGAATAGGTAACAGAAGAAACTAAGCAAAATGACAACAAGTGAAAATGTGAGCAACTGCTCACTGATGATACCCCGCCCAACTGTAAGTGTTTGATAAACAGAAAATTGTTGAGTGGTGAATCTGAAAATGCATCACACGATATAGCTGACTCATAAACCCTGAAACCAAATTTCAAAAATCCTTGTAATGTAGTTCCTGAGATTAATGTGACTAAAATTTTCAACTACTTGGATTTCATGTGTAAAATGATGTAAGTGTTCGGTAAACAGGAAGTTGTTGAGTGATGAATCTGATTTTAGAACAAATGTGTTTATTTCCGATGCAAAGACCCCATCAGTGAATCAATATTAATTTTAAAAAATGCTATCTTTAATGACCTGACAACAGTATCAGAACTATATCCCTTCTTAAAAAGTCTGTTTAAAGTTTTGGTTAGCTTTTGTGAAATACCTGAACGTATAAGATGTCTGCATATTGATTTATATTTACCAATGATAAAATTTAGTAAATATTTTGACAAGTTTGTGATATCGAAAACCCTGGTGTAATAATTTTTCAGTAATACACAGATTTCTTTCATTAAAATCAAATACATGAGCGAATCAAACAAGTTGAGATATATAAACACCATAAGATGGTGACAAGGGAACGTCACCATCTAAAAATGGATAATTAACAATAAGAAATGAAAAATCCTCTCTTTTATCGTAAATTTTAGTTTTAAGCTTTCAGTTAAAGATATAGATATCAAGATCCAGGAAAGGGCAGTGTTCATTGTTAGTATTAGCTTTATTTAAAGTCAGTTCAGAAGGATAAATCTCTTTAGTGTACACACTGAAGTCATCATTATTGAGAGCCAATATATCATCCAAATTGTATTTATACTGTATATATCTATGCATATAGATATTCTTTTTTCTTTTATATGTATGCTCCTTATGTCCCTTGTGGATCCATAATTGGTGGTAAAGTATGTTGTTGTTGTTATTCAGATGATAATTTTTTAAATCTGATTTACTCAAACATTATTTGTCTTTTCATCTCCACAAGTGTGGGTGACATGTTCCCTTAGGGTGTTTATTTAGTGATATATGATTGTATAGCTATTGAATTATAAAAAAGACAAGAACTGTCAAAATATGCTATCTATAAAATGCTCAAAGGAAAGGAAGAAATTGAATGGTGAACTGTTATAAATTTTATGATTTTGATCCTCTGAAAATAACTCTCAATGCTCATCTGTATAAAAATTGTGTAAATCTACAAATAATACAATGAAACCAGAGTATATCTTAACTTCTCTGTGAAAAAGTATGCTTTAAAATGTTATTGTCCAGCATTACCAATTTATGGGGTTATAGCCCAACCCAGTAAAACCTGGACCTGGGTAAAACTTTGCTAACCCTGTTTATTTGTAACAAGTACTAGTTTTACCCACTCTAACATATCTACCTGAACTTTTATCCTTTTGATTAAAATTGAATAAAAATGAACATTGGCGGCAACAAACCAAAGGATTTCCTGAAGGAGGACAATATTTTGACAAAAATGGATATACTCGTATAGAAAAATCATCCAGGAATCAAAAACATAGCTGCAAACACAAGGTGAGTTTTTTATTTAAAAGATAAACACTTTAAACATGTTAAACCAATTTGAAGCATTAACAATTTTCCGGTTGATAGTAAGGGTTCATGAACATGTTTTCATAAAAGCATGCAGACCATAATCAACAGGCTATAGAAGACTTTCGCATTCATGAATTTTCCCATACATTATCAATATACCAATTTGCTATGTTATTACATTACAGTAAGAATTGCTTGTTTAATGATGTCATTAGCTGATTAACTTCTGACCAAATCATTCACAAAAAAGAATTTCAAAATTGATAAATATGCATGTATTTGACCTACAATGTATAGACAAGTCCTATATATGCATACACCCATTTCTAAATTATCACATGAGAGTGACTAAAATTTAATAAGGGTTTTTGAAATGCATTTTTTGTTTTCCAGATATTTTTGGATGTACAGTATATCCTTGATCTTTAATTATCTCTTGACTTCTTCCAGGTATTCTATGCAGTTTGTCGTATTTTTTAATGGAAATAGGTGTTAGGCTACATATTATGTAACGGTATCCGGTCGTTCCGTCCCCAAACCGATCCGGCCCCAAGTCGATCCGGCCCAAAATCGATCCGGCCCAAAGTCGATCCGTCCCAAGTCGATCCGGCCCACGTCGATCCGGCCCAAAGTCGATCCGGCTTTATAATGTAAAATACAAATATATAATACAAATTCATGATGCAAATATCATGAATATATAATACAAATATATGATGCAAATATATAATTCAAATATTTAAACGGATAGCTATAGTACGCTTTACTATTTTCTTTAAAATATTTTATTAATCTAAACACTCAGTTTTGTACAAAAAGTCAAATAAGAATAAATAAAGCAATCTTTATTTAGAATTTATAAGCTTTTTACCATTTTAAACCTGAAAACACGCAAATTAATATTCCCAGATTTAAAACAAAACTATATACTTTTTTTTCATATTATGGTTTAATGATGAAAACAAAGAAAAAAATATTTAAGACTTATATACAAAATTACAGTTTGCTTATATTAAAGCAAAAAGTGAAAATAGAAACTTACCGGTATTACAGAGACGGTGTTGCCACTTTGAACATTGCTCACACTAATGTGCATGCTGCCGAGGTCTAACATGTTGGTCACATACCACACAAGGAAAAGCCAGTGTGATATTAAAAGCAAACGCATTCTGTCTCCTCTTTTATAGAAAGGATTCGGCAAATCAAACAACATTTCTCAATTTGAGAAGTTTTAAGAACTTAAAACAAAAACAAAGTTTGTATGTATCAGCTTGGGGATCGGCTTGTACCGTTGTGTATGTAACTATTTGTTATTACACAGGATGAAAGACTTGTTAAGATCACAGTCAATTGAAAGAAAATGCTAATTACTGCTGATTAATGTTGATGACTGTTGATTGTTCTAAATTCTGTTATATACGTTTTTATTATAATTATACCCAATAATCTTGAAAACTTGTAATGAAAACATAATCAACCTACTTGTTTAATACTCATCTAAAGAAAATATTTGTCAAAGGCCATTTTTTTTTACCGTACACCTTTTACATTATAATAAAATTCATAAACATTTATGAATTACAATTAATATATATCTTTATTTTTATTCCTTATAAATATATTTTTTTATTGGGGCCGGATCGACTTTAAATATGGGCCGGATCGACGTTGGGCCGGATCGACGTGGGACGGATCGACTTGGGCCGGATCGACGTGGGGCCGGATCGACATGAAACCTATGTAACATAATGACCCTAATATATTATATAGGATGACTACAGAAGCCTTGTATGGTTTCATTCGAAAATGACATTTGAAAAAAAAAGTCAAGAACTAATGTTAAGATAAGGAACATTAATGTAGCAAACGGAAGTAACAGCAAAAGTCGTTTCTTTTTTCTTTACTTTACCAATTTTTTTTAGGCATAAACCGAACGAAGTCTGCCTTCTGCAGCGGAGTTCTGTCCCTTTCAATTAACTTCCGGTTGCGACCATTTGTTCCTTGACAACAATGTAAATTCAGTAAAGTCTGTCCAAAAAAAGTACAAAGTTTACCTATTTCAATGGTGTCAGTTCTTTGATAATTGCAAGTAAGAATTTTGTGTATAATGGCAGATAGATTTAACAATATAAAGTGAATGAAATGTCACATTTTGTCTGGAGAACAGCATTGACGTTGTCATATACATGGTTTCTTTTAAGAATTTGTTTAGCCTTCTTTTACAGTACGCCTACGGGCGCCAAGATTTCTAAAATATAATTTCGGGGTCATCTTCATAAAACATTCATTAATATAAATTGTCTGTATACTATTTCATTACATAAAAACATGCATATTTGTAAATTGTCATTTTCATTATATATTGAATGATAACAATACAATACAATATGTGTTTGTTCCAATTAAGGTCCCTAAGCTTAAGGGGGCAATCACAAAGATACAACCATAATTCAGTTATACAAACAATACAGTACAAGAATACAGTGTATAATATGAGGGTAGGAATGCCATTTACCGTCAGGTGTCAAACGGTCATTTTCGGCTACCGTTTACAGCGTCAAATTGGTTAAAATTTTACCGTGATTCGTCAAAATATCCTTAACGTGATTCATCAGAGGTCTCAAATAATTATCGTTAAAGTTATTTTTGGAAAAAAATTAACGTGATTCGTCAAAATCAGTCGATTTTTTTTATCGTCTAAAAGAAAGTGTACATTTTATCGACATGCACCAAAAATTACCGTTAACGTCATTTGGCAAGAATTAATACTGTTTTTCGTCATGAAGGAAAACCCATTATGACCCTCTAAGATCGGTATATAGCAAACATACAAATTGCATACTGCATATACATGTAGTGGTACCCTCAATTTTCAAGATATCTTGGGACCCATAAAGTAAAAAAAAAAGATCCTATGCATTTTATATTTCTCAAAGAGATTCTTATTAGGGTTACATTTGAAGGAGATGGTTCTGTAGAAGTCAACATTAAGTTAAAAAAAAAAGATCCTATGCATTTTATATTTCACCAAGAGAGATTCTTATTAGGGTTACTTTTGAAGAAGATGGGTCTGAAGAAGACAACATCTCACTATTTGCACAAACACAAAAAAACACATTATCTTGGAGAGTATCAAGAGTGAATTTTTCCAGCTGATATTCAAATTTTATGCCAGTATTAATGGCATTACATGAGAAACGCATATAAAAATGGAAAACTAAATGCATGAAATGTAAGACCATAAAAAAAAAAAAAATAAAGGACGTATGTGTCAACATCCGATCAATCTTTCGAATTTTCAAATATAAATGGATATATCTGAGATTTCCTAATATTCAGTAAGTCATGATTTATTTTCAGAACACAAAAATGTACGACAGAGCACCAAGAGATTTGATAAAAACTATAGGATCTACTCCTGGTAATGTTGGACCAGGAACATATGATTCAAGTGTCCCCGCAAAAGCTAGACTCAAAGCAGGTTTGTATGTCTCTAAACTTGACCATGTTAGGAATCAGTCAAATGGGATTAAAATTTATAGTGGAGCACTGGATATTACCTAAAAATTTTAAGGTGTTTTTGTTCTGTTCAATAGTAGTTACTTATTGTATTCAATTGAGGTTAGTGGTCTCCACTGAAATGCATACAGAAAAGAAAATTAGTGTTGTTCATCTAAAAATAAGTTTTGGTTACGAACAAATTGTATTTAGTAAAAGGAGTCCAGCTATATGCATTCTACCTAACCCACTGGTTATTGAAAATTTAGTGAATTAGTTACAACTTGACAGATTTTGAATGTTAGGAAGAGTTCCTGAAATTTAAGTGAATAAGTTGTAACTTGACAGAGTGTGAATGTAAGGAGGCGCGTTCCTGAAATTTAAGTGAATAAGTTGTAACATGACAGAGTAAGAATGTAATGAGGAAGTCCTGAAATTTAAGTGAATAAGTTGTAATTTGACAGAGTGTGAATGTTAGGAGGAGTTCCTGAAATTTAAGTGAAAAAGTTGTAATTCGACAGAGTGTGAATGTAATGAGGAAGTCCTAAATTTAAGTGAATAAGTTGTAACTTGACAGAGTGTGAATGTAAGGAGGAAGTCCTGAAATTTAAGTGAATAAGTTGTAACTTGACAGAGTGTGAATGTAAGGAGGAAGTCCTGAAATTTAAGTGAATAAGTTGTAACTTGACAGAGTGTGAATGTTAGGAGGAGTTCCTGAAATTTAAGTGAAAAAGTTGTAATTCGACAGAGTGTGAATGTAATGAGGAAGTCCTAAATTTAAGTGAATAAGTTGTAACTTGACAGAGTGTGAATGTAAGGAGGAAGTCCTGAAATTTAAGTGAATAAGTTGTAACTTGACAGAGTGTGAATGTAAGGAGGAAGTCATGAAATTTAAGTGAATAAGTTGTAACTTGACAGAGTGTGAATGTAATGAGGAAGTCCTGAAATTTAAGTGAATAAGTTGTAATTTGACAGAGTGTGAATGTAAGGAGGAGTTCCTGAAATTTAAGTGAATAAGTTGTAACTTGACAGAGTGTGAATGTAATGAGGAAGTCCTAAATTTAAGTGAATAAGTTGTAACTTGACAGAGTGTGAATGTAAGGAGGAAGTCCTGAAATTTAAGTGAATAAGTTGTAACTTGACAGAGTGTGAATGTAAGGAGGAAGTCCTGAAATTTAAGTGAATAAGTTGTAACTTGACAGAGTGTGAATGTAATGAGGAAGTCCTGAAATTTAAGTGAATAAGTTGTAATTTGACAGAGTGTGAATGTAAGGAGGAGTTCCTGGAATTTAAGTGAATAAGTTGTAACTTGACAAAGTGTGAATGTAAGGAGGAAGACCTGAAATTTTTGTGAATTTTTTGTCACTAAGCATATTTTGAATGATAGGAACAGAGGAGGTGGTCCTGAAATTTTTGTGAATTTTTTGTCACAACAGATTTTTAGTGAATTGCAATATATTGCAGTTGTTACTTTAGAGGTTTTGAATGTTAGGAGGAGGTCCTGAAATTTTTGTAAAGATTGAATAATGGTAACTAGAAAGATTTGGAATGTGAGGAGGAGTCTCCAAGGAGGTCCTGAAATTTAAATGAACTAGTTATTACTTGACAGGTTTTGTATGTCAGAAGGAGGTCCTTAAAAAAAATTATGTCATTGATATTATTTCCTACTTAACCGTAAAATAGTCACACAGAATAATTAACCTGTTTGTAAACTTCTCAATTTTATATAACAAACAATGAATTCTGAATTTTAGAGACCACATACCACAGTTTGATTAGTTATTTTACATTTAATAATAGATTTAAAATGACAATGGAAAATGATACAAATCTAAAATTATCTTAGGAAAGTATCATGATATATTGACATTGCAATTGCTGTAATGATATTCTCATTGGAAAACCTAAATGTTTCCTTGAATGATTAAAATAAAATAATTAAAATTCTTATTTCTCAGATGGATATGCTCCTTTCTTGTCTATGACCAGTAGAGAAACATTTTTGAATATTAATGACCAGACTGTAGCAGCACCAGGACCTGGACATTATGATCCAGGAATTGCCCAAGATGTGATTGTTGTAAGTATTATGTCTTAAAATTATGATCCAGGATCTACCTAAGATCAGATCTTTGTAAGTTTTGTTGTGTCTGGACATTATGATCCAGGATTTGCCAAAGATCAGATTGCTGTAAGTATTGTTGTGTCTGGACACAATGAAAATGTGCATAAGTCAAATAAAAGACAGATAACGCCATGGCCAAAAGAATAAAGATAGTCCACAAAACACTACACAGAAGAAATGAAGAATGAAAAAAAGTAACCTCAACAAAAATCAAGCAACCTTGAGGTATGACTTAGTTCTTTAACAGAACATAAAAATTTTCTTAATCTATGGGTCTTTTCACCAAAAAAATGTACAAATAAAATTGATCTTTAGGTATACTGAAATTTTCATGACTTACCACTATTTTTCTCATTAGGTTTTTTGCCTTGCTGCGGTGACGGTGTCAACAATTGTTAAGTTTTCTGCTGAAGTTAGTTTGATAGGAACTACTTGTGATAAATCATTGATATTGTGTATAAAGATGCATTACTATCAGTACATATAAGTTTGACAACAATTTTGAGGCCATGTCCCTGAGGTCATGGTCCAGTGACTGAATTAATTAGCAATTTTAAATGTTAAGTTTTCTGCTTAAGTTAGATTGATAGGAACTACTGGTGATATATCAATGCTATTTTGTGTGAAGTTGCATTGCTATCAGTACATATCAGTTTGGAGACTATTTTGAGGACCTGCCCCCTAGGCCATGGTCCAGTGACTTTGAATTAATTAGCAATTTTAAATGTTAAGTTTTCTGCTTAGTTAGTTTGATAGGAACTACTGGTGATAGATCAATGATATTTTGTTTGAAGTTGCATTGCTATCAGTACATATCAGTTTGGAGACTATTTTGAGGCCCTGCCCCCTAGGCCATGGTCCAGTGACTTTGAATTAATTGGCAATTTTAAATGGTAAGTTTTCTGCTTTTAAAGTTAGATTGATATGGAATACTGGTGATAGATCAATGATATGTTGTGTGAAGTTGCATTGCTATCGATACATATCAGTTTGACAACTATTTTGAGGCCCTGCCTCCTAGGTCATGGTCCAGTAAAGTTCAATCAATTATCAATTTTCAATATTAAGTTTTCTGATTAAGTTAGTTTGATAGGAACTACTTACAATAGACAATATTTTCTATAAAGTTACATTGCTGTCTGTACATCTCAGTTTGTCAACCATTTCGAGGCCATACCCACTAGTTGGTCCAGCGACTTTGAATTAAATAGCAATGTTGCTGTCCATCAGGTTGTCTTTTTCTGAATTTTATGCCTACAAGCCAGACATATCTCTGTGTCAACAGTTTATTGTGAAATTGGTTCATTGGTTATAATTGTTAACTGAACTTTCTGTAATGAGGTTGTGTCCTCCTGGACAACTCTTGATTTTTTATTTATTTTTTTAGAATAGTGTGCAATTGAAATCTAACTATAGAGTTAAGTGTGATATAGAAAGTTTCATATAAAGGTGATTTGATACACAGTTCAGGTACTCAGTTTTACAACTAAAATGGAATCAGGAATGTACAATTTATTTAATAGACAAAACAAATTAAGCTACATATATATATATTAGACACAATATCAAATTAAGTGTCAACTATAACGATTAGTGATTTGATAACAAATTGGCTAAGACAAGGATTTGTATAGTGAATATGCTGTAAATTGACAGAGTGTGAATGTAAGGAGTTCTATACAAATCCTTGCCTAGGATGAATGTTTATATTTACAGGGTGGTAAAACATTAGCAAATAGATCCAAACGCTTTAGTGAAATCAGTACAGAGAACCCAGGACCTGGAACTTACAGTACTGAAAAATATACAGAGTTCAGGACAGCAAAGTCTGCTCCAAATATACTTACAAACAAAGATAAAGCTGGAGCAGTATGTACATTATGTTTTACTTCTGTTAAGTGGAAAATATTCATTTGTGGTTTATTTTTGTTGATATTTGAATAAAAAGACAATATCCTCTACCATAAATTTCATATATAACAATGTTTAAGTAAGTTTATCATCTGAGACTTGAAAACTTATGAAAATAAAATATTTCAAACAGTTTGGCACCAGCAAATTGCAAAATATACTTTTGGAAAAACAAAACACTTTTTTTTTTCCTGAAAAAATATTGTCTCAACTGCACCAATATTATTTACTTTATAATGAAATCACAATAAGGTTGAAAACAGTAATTTGTCCTTCTTAATTGTGCAATTTGTCAGTATTTTAAAAAATCCAAAGAAGAGCATTCTTGACTTTCAACACTCTAGTCCAAAGCCTTCTGGAATAATTTACTTTGTTAACTAAGTGACCTAAATGATAGGTTTTTTGCTTTCAGTGTTAATAAATTCAGAATATTTTTGCATCAAAGAAAACGCAGGATAAAAGTTACGTTTTAAATTTCTTGATCTCCACTTCTTTATTATTAGCTTTTGACAAGTAGAATAAAGTTCCACAGAAAACCAGAGGCCCCATCTATACCCATGCCTGGTCAGGCCTATGGCTATGAGGAATGTGAGGATGGTACACTTAAAAAACAAGACCCACCAGACAGAGATGTGTCTATTGGACCAGCTTTCTATAAACCAGCAGTTGTAAGTAAAACAGTCAGGTTTTTCTTAAGGAAAAAAAAAAGAAAAACATTGCTGAAGATCTATTAAAATGGAAGGCTGAGAAATACAAATTCAACAGAATACAAATGTGAAATTTGCCAGGGATAAAAAAATTGCAAAAGATGGTACCATTTTTGTGTTATCAACTCCTCCTACCGTTTTTAACCCAGATTTCTAGAACCGTCACTGAAATATTGCACAAATGTTGAAGTTGTGTACACATACTAATATGAATTTGAGGCTTTTTTTCCTCATTTTTCTGAACTAGGGAACCTTATTTTTCATCAAATCACTAAAGATGGAACCAATTTTGTGTAATCAACTTTTACTACAGTTATCAACCCATATCTTTGAAACTTATCAACCCATATCTTTGAAACTTATCAACCCTTATCTTTGAAACTTTGCAGAATGATTGCAGATATTCACATGCCTGCTATTATAGAATTGCTAAAGGTATTTTTACCCATTCCAGGCTAAGGAACTTTGTCATTTCACCAGCAAAATTTCAAAGACGGTAACAGTTTTTGTTTTTTACCCAGATCTTTGGAAATTCACAGAGATTTGCAAAGCTTTTCAGGTTGTGCACCTTTCATTATGCAGTTGTTTTAAGATTTTTTCCCATTTTTCCAATTTACATATCCATATATTTAAATGTTTAGTAAAGACCATTCTCCTTTGTTTAAGAAACAATCTGTGCAACCCAGCCATTTGAGTCTTTGATCCATTTTTTAAAAGAATAATTGCTTTATCAAAAAGTAATATGTAAGTTGATACATATATCAAGTAGTTGTGTGTACATTTATCAACAGGATTGTGCCTGATATTCATATGATGAAGACATAATCTTTCAATCAGTTTAATTGAGGCCTGGAGCTGGCATGTCAGTAACTGCTAGTAGTCTGTTGTTATTTATGTATTATTGTCATTTTGTTTATTTTCTTTTGTTTCCTATTCTGACATCTGACTCGGACTTCTCTTAAACTGAGTTTTACTGTGCGTACTGTTGTACGTTTGTTTTATCTACATTGGCTAGAGGTATAGGGGGAGGGTTGAGATCTCAAAAAACATGTTTAACCCCGCCGCATTTTTGCGCCTATCCCAAGTCAGGAGCCTCTGACCTTTGTTAGTCTTGTATCATTTTTAATTTTAGTTTCTTGTGTATAATTTGGAGTTTAGTATGATGTCCATTATCACTGAATTAGTATACATATTTGTTTAGGGGCCAGCTGAAGGACGCCTCCGGGTGCGGGAGTTTCTTGCTGCATTGAAGACCCATTGGTGGCCTTTGGCTGTTGTCTGCTCTATGGTCGGGTTGTTGTCTCTTTGACACATTCCCCATTTCCATTCTCAATTTTATTAGAAGAATCCAAGCTTGAACAATTGTTTGTAAATAAAAAAGAATGGTTATTGCAAACCAAATGAAACTTTTCCACAGAGTCATCTCCTCTTGGTCAAGGTATTTAAACTTTTGTCTGTTCTATTGTCCCATTGAATAAATGCAATAGCTATTGTTCTCTGTGTAGTTTATTCACTGGGACCTTTAAATTTCTTTAAGAGAAATCCATCACTCATTGATTAATTTACCTGAGAGAAAAAATAATCTTCTAAATAGATGAAAATAAATGTTTGTATCGACTCAAAAACTGTGTGATGTTGTATTTATTCAATATCAATAATATATTTTCAATCTGTTCAAAAAGCAAAGGAGCAGTGCTTTTATTGCTGTTCTCCATCTCAAATCACAGTGAGGCCTTCAACACTGAGCTAAAAAACTCTTCACTAACATGCATTTCAGGTAAACCTAATCTCCAGTTTCTTTATGATCATACTAATCAATTTATTTAACAGACTGAAACAAAGACAACCAAGACTTACAAAGGTATTCATTTTGGTAACTTGGCATCAAAACGTCTTGATTTAAGTAAAGGCAAAATGGGCCCAGGACCTGGTGAATATGAACCTTACAGAGATGCCAGTATGAAAGCTGAGAATTTAAATTCCCAAGCGGAAGAACAAGCTAGATTTGAAGCCAGAATTCCACGTTATCATGAGGCTATTCAGAAAGATGTTGAAAAGAAGGTATGTTTAAGTAAATGAATTAGTTAAGATTTTTACAATAATTTCTTGGTTTATACATCAAAAAAGGTATTTAAAGACATTCCTAATACATTGGTAAATTAAAATTTGAGAAACATCTTTTTTTGTGCTAGGATTTCAACCAAAATTGATAGATATAATATGTTACAAAATATATTCCAAATCGATTTCTGGTGATAAAACTTTCAAAATAGTCACCATGATATGTCAACATTCGAAGTGCTTGGAATTCAAAGAAATTTGATATGAACTTAGAACATGATTCCTTAAATTAATTATTATGTGTCAAAATTTATTTGTTTGTTGTCATCTCAAAGTAACTGTCAAAATATGTAAACATTCAAAAATTTCAGAATATAGCAAAAATTGATAGCTAGATGATATTTATTATCATAATTTTATTTCTGGTGTTCACAAAATTATTTGTTGCATTCCATTTTCAAAATATGTATTTGTGCTATGGTGCTATGGTAGCCAAATGGTCTAAAAAGTTACACTAGCCTGTCAACACTGGGGTTGTGAGTTTGAACCCTGCACAAGCCGACTTTCCTCCACAATAAATATTGACTGTTTGATATAGCCAATAGATCTGAAAGTGGCATAAACACTAAAAAAACAATAAATCAATCAAAGTATTTGTTGGCTGCAAATTTCAAAATGGCATGATTTTAAGATAAACACATTAGAAAATATGTATTTCATTACACTGCATATCAACTGCAGATATGAAATCAATTCTAACTGATACCTCAGGAATATGTATATCTTCGTTGGCATGACAGACTCTATCACAAGTAGCTTGTACACATTGTCATTTATGCAAATGATTCCTTCACTCTATTGATATAAGTTGCCTTGTAGGTAGATGTAGACAAACTACTTTCATCAATCATTATAAGATTAAGATGTTCTGAAAATCAGGATTCATGTGATGAAGAATTAAAGTTAATTTCTTTTTATTGACTGCTGTAAATTCAGAAATTATTGCGTTGTTTTTATTAATGCGAAAAATGCGTCTGGGTGAGTATCGCAATAATAAGAACTCACATACTGAAATCTGATACATATATCTGAATTACAGCAACTGGCCTGGTCTTGTAAAGTCTGCACTGGTATATTGTCCGCACCCCTTTTTCGCCACCAGGAATTCAGGAAAAAAATTTGTTTTCACTTGTTGAAAACGTCTATGGGAACTCATGTAATTTCAAAGGGTGTGATATGGTTTGCGGTATTTTCATGTAAAATGCAGTTTTTCATCATCTATTAGAAGTTGAAAATGCTTGCAAATGATTCTTAAACACTTCATGAGTGTTGAAATAAGCCAAAATCATAAGTAAAACAATTGTAAAAGTTGTATATTTCATTAACCAGATATCCGAATAGAATGTATAAATCGCAAACAAATACATTGAGACCGTGAGAGTATGCGAAAAATCTGTACTTAATGATATAACAAGTGAATCTGTGAGCTACTGCTCACTAATGATACCTCTGCCCCACTAAAAGTATAAGGTAAACAGGAAGTTGTTGAGTGATGAATCTGAAAGCGCATCACACGGTATAGCTGACTCATATAAACCCTAAAACCAAATTTCAGAAATCCTTGTATTGAAGTTCCGGAGAAAAATTTGACGAAAATTTTCAACTTGGCTATCATGTGTAAAATGATACAAGTGTTCGGTAAACAGGAAGTTATTGAGTGATGAATCTGAAAACGCATCACACGGTATAGCTGACTCATATAAACCCTGAAACCAAATTTCAGAAATCCTTGTAATGTAGTTCCTGAGAAAGATGCGACAAAGGACTGACTGACTGACGGATGGACGGACAGACAGAGGTAAAACAGTATACCCCCACTTTTTTAAAGCGGGGGTATAACTACAGAATACGACTTTGAAACTAAAGAAGTTCCGTTCTGAAGTGAAATACTGTCAGATATATTCATCACATTAATGTTTGACGAAGCTTTAGCTAAAAGTATAAACACCAAAAGGGAACGAATAACGGATTACTTTTTGTAGTTTATACATCCTTATGTTTAGCTGGTTCCCCGGCTGACTTTGTCCTTTTTTTCATAGCATAGTTAACAAGCAGAATCATGTTTAAGTTATGGAATGCTATGAAAAGAAATGAGAAATTTGTAAAGAAGCATTTATTTAAGTATCAGTTTATCCTATTTCTTGCTTATAGTACTCTATAATCCACACTCCTGTCTGGCAATCTTAATTTTAGAGAAAAAACCATGGACAATACACGACTGAATTCGTGATTTAACTCATATTTTTGTCCATTCTTGAAAAATGGCAATAATAAATGCACGCAATAATTTCTGAATTTATAGTATTGAAATATCCATTGTACAGTTATTTTTACATCATTTTACATTGTCAAAGTATTTGCATTAAATTTTACAAAATCTGACATGGAAGACTTGAAACTAATTTGATGTCTGAAAACATTTTCAGGGAGTTCCCGGACCAGGGAAGTATGATGTTAAGGGTGTATTTGATCCTGAACCTCCTAAAGTTAACACAGAGGGAATCGAAGTAGAACATCCACCATTTATGTCACAATCCAAGGTATGTAAGATATTACTTTATAACGTACAATATTCATAATTCTTAGAAGTATGAGGGTAGCCAAAGTTTGTCATAATATTGTGGAGTACTGTCAAATTGCTTTTGGCATCTTCATCCCCTTTTCTGGAATATGAGAGAAGTCTTTGTTTATACTTATTGGCAAACTTTAGTTTAAAAGTTTTAAGTTTTTAAAAATTAATCAGTTAGTTCACCTTAAACTTGCTATTACTTGACCCTTGTATATGCCTATATAAATATAACCTCTATGTCTAACTTATTTGTTGAGATCTTTAGCTTTAAGAACATTACTCTGAAACTTGTGACTGCAAGGTAGTGGTATTTCAGTATTAACCAGAGCAGTCCTATGATATACCAGTAGTTAAAATCAATATTTTCATGCTAGAAGGCCTTGTAAAATTTTTTTTTTAGGTCATATTTCTAGGTCAGTGATTTTTTTTTACAATGCAATACATTTTCATACTCCATGACGGGTACCAAATGTGGAGCAGGATCTGCTTACCCCTCCTGAGCACCTGAGATCACCCCCAGTTTTTGTTGGGGTTCGTGTTGCTCAGTCTTTAGTTTTCTATGTGTTGTTTTGTGTACCTTTTTCTTTTTCTTTTTTTTGCCATGGCGTTGTCAGTTTCGACTTAGGAGTTTGAATGTCCCTTTGGTATCTTTCGCCTCTCTTTTATACTCCTTAGATATTAAACTATAAGAACCTTCATATTATTTAGAATGGTTAGGTATACAGAAGGACAAAAGAAATGTACCAGTGAATTATTTATAATTTGGAAAATAAACCAGCTATATATTTCAATTGAAGATTGGGCAGAAAATGTTTAGTAATGAAATCAAATTCTGTTGATACACAAAATTTCAGAAAATTATTTTTTCCGTTCAAATTTTTACTCTCCAACACTTTTATGACAAAAGTGCAGACTGTTGGAAGTCCTGAAAAAGAAAAATGAAATAAAATTTAAAGCAAATTCTGTTTTTTCTGTAATTGTATTTCCATCCAGAACAAATTATGGAAAAGTTAGAACTTTTTTCATCAACTCTTTCGTCTGATTATCATAATGGTGTTTGTCTTAACTAGTCTTCAACAACTGAATATTTGAACAAAAAATTCCATTATGTTAAAATCAAAATAAGATGTAAACAACAAGTGCAAAATTTATATTTTTTGATAAAAAATGCCAAAGTATCTCAATTTAAGGTGGTCTATTCACGGTGGCAACATAATAAAATACCACTAAATCATTGACTCAATCTTTGTATTTGATATTTTGCCACACAGCATCATAAAAGAGGCAATTCTAAAAGTTTTTCTATATGTCACCCATTATAATGTGATTGTTAGTGCTACAAATGCTATATTATTTTTACCAATTCTACAGCAATGTATTGAAAAAAAAAATGACAATTTTTTTTTTTTCAATTTTTTATGTAATTTTGATTAAAATGATTTGAAAAGATTAAATACATATCTGCCTATATTGCTTTATACTATACGTTGACATATAATATTAATAATTTTATCTTCTGTTTTACGATTTAATTTAAATATGTACAATGAAAAAATTATGTTTAATTACAGAGATTTACACCCTTGAAGAAAGTTACTCCATCACCAGGAGCATACAATGATCCACGTAATGCGTTTGAATCAATGAAAAGAGTAACAGGATTGAAAAGAAGTCCATTTGGACAGACATCTGTAAGATTTGAACCAAAAGGTCACAGAAAAAATCCAGGTAATTGACAGTAATATGTCCCATAGATATAATCTGAATGAGGATTATTACTGCTTGAAAGTGGTATTGTTGATTAATTTTCTCCATGTAAATTTAAGGAGTGTGTATCACCACTAATAGATGACCATTTGATTACTTAAAAGTTCTGGATGGAATTATACACATTTTAAATTTTAGAGAAGCCATATGATAGAATATCTTTACTTGTATTTGAGTTGTCTAATTTTGTCCAAGATTCCTTTGAAATTTTAAATATTGGCATAATTTTCAATATGGTACATAAACCTTAAAGAACCAAAATTCATTTCTTATTTTTAACACCAAAGAAAATTATGTACCCTGTAGTTCCTCTGTAAGCATTGGTCGTTCTAAAGATGGCATGTATCACATAAATACGTTCATGTGAAAAGTTTGCAATTATATCTGGACTGCCATGAACCTGATTTTACTCAAAGTCAAATATTCAGCCATTCAGTATTTTTGACTTGAGTCTGTACTAAGTAGTGAAAAGTAGAGTCCACAATTTTATGACTAAAAATAAAATAAATTCAAAAGTCATGGTAATATAACTCGGAAATAACCAATATCCGATAATTTTCTTTGTATCATTTTTATATATGCTTGAAAAAAATGTTAATGATAATTTAATTGTTGACATTATTTAGTGTGTCATATTCTTAATGATATTTTAATTATGGCCATGGATGTTTGCACACAAAAGGATAATCAGGAGATTGCATACAGAGCACTGGTGAATTAACACCTCCGTCGATGTATGTTCTTTCTAGTATAATATAAGTTCACAAATTTTTTCATGTGCATTTATTTAGTGCGATTTAAAAAAAATTGACATTAATGTGAGATTTATTATAAATGGTGCATACAAATAAATGTCATCAATTTAAAGTGTGAGTTTTTATTTTAGCGATTACTATTCAGTAGCAGTTTTCCCAATGATAAAAAAGTTTTGAAATTACAGTAACTCTATGTGATAAAGTAAATCCATCATTGTAGTTAATTTAAATGAATGTATCACCATCAGTAACCACAGAATTCTGTAAAGTTTTCAATTGTTTTACAAAATAATTGGAAGAAGAGGGAATTACAGTTATGAAGTAGAAGTTGTTAATTGGGCTATTAATTTGAATATAAGTGACAAGGAGTGGATTTTCTACTGTTTTATACAAAAATAATCAGATTACTTTCCCTCTTATATCATTGTTTGTTCTGTTATAGGGTTGGATTTAATTGTAGAAAATACCGAAAGTGATTAAGATTGAAATTTCTTTGAAGTTGATTAGTCACAAGCTATTTTTTAGCTGCTAATGTGAAAATTAGTCAAAAGCCCTATTAAAGTTAGCATGTAGCAATATTTTAGGACCTTGGCGCTAAGTGGAAACTGGACGCCAGGGAAAATAAGCATGTTTTGTTATGCAGTGATTTTATTATCTTTTGACATTGACTATTGTGTACTCTTTGAATTAACAAAAAAAATTAGCAATACAATTGATTTAAAATCATAAAAGTCAACATATTCATGTGTTGAATTTTAAAGTGAAAACCTTAGAGACTATTATCACAATCTAAAATTTACATAAACAACCACCCAGTCTATTTTGTTTTTCTGGCAACATATTTCTATCTTGGCCACTATCTGTCGACTTTTTGATTGGAGGACAAAAGTTGACCGTAAATCAGCTTTCTAATTTTCCATCTGGTACACCATACAATCTGAAATGGATGTTTTTCATGTCACATAAAAATTAATCATTCTTTGTCATTATGGTTCAAAAGTATTTGTCACTGTGTGGATGTTTTATGTGAACATTAACTTTGAATATTGATATCTAAGTTAGTAGATTAATTTTGAAATTGAAAATATCCCATTTCTTTTAATTGATATTAAGTTCTGAGACCTTATTACTTCATTCATTGAATAATGCCTGCATTTGAATTTGTACCATACCTGTTAAGACAATGACATATATATGCATTTTGTCTGGCGTGGATTGAAAGTTTATTCTGTAAGGGATACATGCCAGTTGAAGCAAGCCTCTGGGTGTAGGATTTTCTCACTGGGTTGGACTAATTGTTAGCCTTGGGCTATTTTCTGCTCTTTGGTTGGGCTTTTGTCTCTTTGACACATTCCCCATTTCTATTCTATATATGGTTGCATTTACTTTTGGAAACACCATCATAAAGCTTGGGAACACCATCATAAAGCTTGGGAACAGCATCATAAAGCTTTTATTTGTGACAAGATAGTAGATATAAGCAATTCATATTTTTGTGTGTAATTGTCTGTCAGCATGGGTTTCTGTCTGACCTCTGTCAGCTGTCCTTGATCTCAAGGTCATAGTTCAGTGATGAAAAAAGTGCTTTCCATTTCCTTCTTTTGGTTTGTTTCTATGCAAATGATATATGTACTACACCAATCATGGCTTCTGGATTCCCAGTAAATTGACAGCAAAAAAGCAGCAGTCTTATACCTATCACTATACTAGGACTCCATGCTGATAGTTGACTGACTCAGTATTTTTGAGTTCTTATTCTAAATTTGCACCAGTTCTACTAATGCTTAAATTGATGTGTGAACTTATTTGGTCCATAAATGGATTTTGAGGGTTACATATCAGTTGGACAGGTTCCATCTTAACGGACCTTATTTTCTTGGTATAGTCATTCAGGCTCAAATCAAATGATGATACTAGTTTCTGAAAAATTTATTATAAGCTTATAATTTTGTCAATCCAACAGGTTCACCTGACCTTGACTGACTTTTGGTTCTGTAATTTTCATTTTATTTTGTGGTTACTTTTTAAAAAGTATGTTGTCAATTTTATTAAGCCTATTGATGACATTGTAAGGTGTACATTTTAATGTCACATGTATAACTGATATCTTACCATGAATCTATTCTCATACTCTGATCTTTCACAACAAGCTTCAGGATTAAGCCAGATTCGGTCACCATTGGTCTTCCTCCGACCGGCAGTAAAACCCTTGCTAAAGTGGGGCGTCCGATTGGCTGTGCGGGATGTACAAATTTGCAGCCACGTCCGGTCAGAATGGGGACGTTAAATCCGATGCCTCGTGTAAAGAGAGTGCCACACTCTTTGAACGTTAAGAACCCTTGCAACAACTCTTTGAGGGGTCCGTAGGTGACCTGTTGCAAGGCTAAATCTTTGTCCCTATCCAATATACCCTCATTTCCCGTGGCAGTCTAAATTTCTCCGACCTTAATCCCGCACGTCCTTATTACAGAACCTACCTATTGTATTTATTGTTAATTTGTTCTTGTCCTGAATATGCATGAAATATTTGCCACTGGACATTAAGCAACCAACAATCAATCAATCAATTATTCCTGGTTGTCCATTTATGTTAATCCACTATGCCATTGAACCATAACCTCAAACCAAAATGGTTAGACTAGGCGAACTCTCCCTATCCCCACTGATATGATAAAACCATCTTGACTTCTGATACACCACAATATGGTATTGAAAAGTTTGTTTCTGTTTATAATTGTTTTTGAAGAAAAGGGACTAACTTTTTATACAAATTGTTAATAGAAAAATTTATTATATGTGGTATTGTTAAATGTTTGTTACAATACAATACAACAAATTTTATGTTCATATTCAGTACTGAGAGTAACATGTTTAGAAGTGCTTTACATCTAACATGGCCTAATCAAAAGTAATCTATGTCAAAACCTTATAAATGCAAAATTATTCATTTTGTCCATAAAACTGTCTGAACTAATTTTATTGACCATACCCTTGTTATAAATCACTGTTTTTCACGGAACACAAAAAATGGATTAAGTTTGTTATGGGAGCTCCTGTAACAATGAAAGTGAAAGTTTTGTCGATAATGGATAATAATTTCTACTTTTTACAGGCTTGATTATTGTATTTCTTTTGTTCACAACAAAATAGCCGGGATGCAACATGTGACCTCAACAAGACCACGACAGATGCCCCTATAATAAAAAATGATACCCTCCATAAAAGTCAGTTTCCCTTGGTGACCAATCGTCGGACAATAGCTAAGGAGAGAGATAGGATTCTATGTTAAGCTTAGAGATATTCATTGCTTTTTCACACCTAAGTGTTTTTATTATCAGTATATTAATCAGTTTTCTCCGATTGATCATATTTTTATGGCCTCCATCGAATATTAATGATGTATGGAAAAAGCTTCTTTATATTAAAAGACAGATGAGTCACTAAGTTGGATTTGTTCAATAAGAAAACTGTCAAGGATCTTTATAAGGACAAAGTTTTTATATCTTTTGATTAGAAAAGATCAGCAAATATACAACTGTAATAAATTTGTTAAATGCATATAAATTTCGGCTACATTTTGAATATCATATAGTGCGAAGGTATAAAATTTGAATTAAAAGATATTTTAGACCATAACATTTTTAATCAGATGAAATGCAATAGGATTGTAAATCGTTTTTAGTTGAAATTATTATTAAACAAGTGAGGAATCTTAGTTTGTTTGCCTTTCAATAAACATATTTCTAACATAGATGCAGAGGAAACAACGACTAAATTAACCAAAAAAAGGAAAGTAAAATCGTCTCTTTACAAATAGAAATAGTTTTTGAAATATATCTTTTGAACTGAGCAAAAGTACAAAAACAGTCAAAATGAAAATAAAATCTGTCGTGCACACATTTTTTTCTAGAATATATAGCAGAGAATTCTGCTCAAACCGGTGCCAGGGGAGGTCTTTAACTTGCAGTCAGGTGTGAGTTTTTGCTTCATGTTGAAGGCCACATTATGACTTTTAGATGAAGAAAGCGATTAAAGTGCTGTTCAATTAGGTTTGGTTTTTTCATGCGAGCATAGTGATTTTGTGTCATGAATTGATACACAATTTCCTTTCTATTCCATATATTTCCTATTTCAATGCATGCTGACATTTTACATTGTAAAAGGATGTAATGATAGTACACACCAAATCAATGTTTTTTTTTGTATTTTCTATTATTTCTTTTTCTTCTGTTTTTCAGTTAAAATTTATTTTGATTTTACTGTATAGCTGATTACTATGCTATCAGTTAGCTTCTAAAGATAGTCACATCCCTTAACAGGAAATAATCTATATACCTGGAAACAAGTCATGCCTTATTTCACAAGGTAATTAATTTCAGCAAAGATAAACTAAATCAATGTTACATAGTCTTTGTTTCAAGTCTCTGACTTCTTTAATGTCGGTCAATGTTTACAGATACCAAACCTCTTTCCATTCATAAAGTTTTATGTGGAGAGTCTGTATGGCTTCATACTGCACTGACAATTTTTTATTTATTTTTAGATATGATGAGTGTACATGAGATCTTTTAAAAACAAAACAAAATGTAGGTTACCATGCTAGTTTTCAAGAAAAATTGAGGCTCAATTTGAATAAGTGGATTTTTGAAAGTTGTTATAAATAAGGGAAAACTTTAAGTTTTTATAAACTTGTATTTATGGCAATGAAATGGCCAAATTTGTTTCATTTCAAAGCTATGATAAATACATATTAAGTGAAAAATTAAATTTTACACTAGGGTAATTTAATAATTGTACTGAGAAGCTCTACAGAAATTTCAGATTACTTGAAAAGAACAAAATAGATAGTCTGATCCTATCGTTTATAGCAGTTTTACAAGGTTCTTTTATTGAAATTGTACATATTATATTGCTGCAATGTGTCCCCCATTTTCTTGCCCCTCACATTTAATTTTCTTACTGAATGCAATTAATTTTAAAGTGACTAGTAAAATAATTATGGAAAGTCTTAAAAGTACATATTGAGTTCTTCATTCTTTGATGTCAAACTTTTTACTTTTTAATATGAAAATCAATAAAGACACAATATTGATGATTGGTATAGGATATCTGTTTTACAATTAGGTAACTTAAACAGCCATAAGAGAGAGACAGAGAGTAGAAAACCCATTACATGTTCGAATGTGTATGGAATTTTATTACACCCAATTTTTTTAACAGGAAAATCTGTGAAAAACAGGATAAATGGAGTGTTATTTCATGTCTTTCATGAAATATTGTCATTGTGAAGCTTTCAAATTAAGTGATATATTTCATTTTACAGTGTATCATATTATTTGACTGCAGTATAAAGTGACATTATATTTTATGATGTGTTATACAAAGTGACCCAGCAATCTGCCAGGGTAAAATGGTCCCAAGAATGTTAGCTTTGTTTCATGTTCATACAAAATAATTCAGCTTTTAATGATGTTTCTTCACCTTTGCCAAAATATTGAGGTCTGTAATGTCTTAGTAATGGGTATTTTAATGCTTGGTATTATAGCTATGTAATTGTAAGTACACATGTACAAGAGGAAGACTACAAATAAAAATTGGTTTAAGTGCAGCTAAAACTTTTTATTGAATCCAGTTCATTTATAAATTAAATGCATTTTTGTGTAGAAAGATATAAAGAATGTGTAGAAAGATATAAAGAATGGCAATATTTGCATGTTCACCTATTTCAAGTATGAATCGATTATAGGTTGATTATGCTCCATGAAAAAATTTATTTAGAAAGCATATAGCCTAGTCTTTCCTTCCTTTGTCCAGTGAATATTTTCTTCACACTTTTCTCACAAACAACTAAACAGAATGACTTTCCTATTTGAAAGCTTGGCAGTGGTGTGTTGTAAGGCATGAGCGCTTTTTGGATCTGTCAGAAACCTAATTCCTGTTTGGTAATATTTTGAATTTTGAAATATTTTTGATAAACAAAAAAATTTTGTCACATATTTCTTCCATATTACTGAACAGAATGACTTCTTATTTGGTCAGCAGCTCAGTAGAAATTAGTTGTAATGTGTGTGCGCATTCTGTTTTCCGATACTTTGAATTACCCTTGGTGTTTTACAACATGTGTATACTTGTCTATTTGACATCTTTCCGTCATTGGTTTTGTCCAAACTTCAACTGAAATGTAACATACAGGGATAGTTTGAAGAATCAAGAAGTTTTGGGGACAAGATAGTACATTGTGTTATATTAATTTGACTTATTGGTCTATTTGTACTTAAGGTCCTGGAGCATATATCATTGTTGGTTTATTTGTACTTTAGGTCCTGGAGCATATAACCCTTAACAGTGTTGGTCTTTTTGTACTTCAGGTCATGGAGCATATAAAATTGTTGGTTTATTTGTACTTTAGGTCCCGGAGCATATAATATTGTTGGTATGGGTTCAGAGAGCATGAGAAAGGCCTACATTGAGAGTACTCGGAAGGGTGTATTTGGAACCACATCTGTCAGGATAAAACCCATTACCAAAAAAGAAGAGGTTGAAGTACCAGGTCCAGCTCATTACCAAATAAAAGAGAAACCGTTTAGGACAAAGTATCCAAACCTGACGTCTACATTTGCATCAGTAACGTCAAGAGTTGTTGAGCCTCCACCAACAGTTAAGGTAATAATTGATGTTATGTAATCTACAATTTATTTTATTTTGTCTTATAGAGTAAAACATTAAAGAGGGTATAAGTTGCAAAACTTATAATTCTAAGCATGCCAGTGTATATGATTTACAGTTCTATCTTATAATAAATAGTAATGTAGCAGTATTGCTTGCACCGCTCATGTATTTTAATACTAGGAAAATCAACATCGCTTAACAGTTTTGTATTTGATGATATACACCATTTGATCACTTTGCCTTGTGTATTATCTAGAAAGTCAGCTGACTTTTCATTTTGTGTAATATTTTGTGATTATGTAATGATGACATTAACTGTAGATGATTATGTTTTATAATGCCTACAGTTACCACAACCCTCCACGATATATAGTGAACTGTTAAATATCATTACACATCAAGAAACAGTGATAAGTTGATAATCATCCTTATTTTCACCCTCTATTATAATTTTGAGCTTCAAGTCTCAATTTAAGGGTAATTTTCTTCAGTATTATGTCCGAGGAAGCCTTGGAGACTATAGAACTGCATGTTACTCTAGATTACTTTGTGATAACATTTATCAAACATGTAAATTTACAATGTTTGGATAGCATCTCCTTGTAATTACAATAGAAAAGTTTTTTTTTCTAGGTAACTTTTGTTGTAATTTATTGGTGACAGTTAGTTTCTACAAGTTTATTTGTTCATTTAAATTGACAACTGCTGTAATGTCAAAGTAAATTATCTTTATTGCCATTCAACTAGGAGAAAACATAGAAAACCTAGACAATTTTGTTATGTCTTTTCCATATCATCATGTATTTTTGTCATTAATGTTCAATCTTTGCCGCAGGGAAATCAAATATACAAAACTGTAGTCATTTTTGTTGAAAAAATAAATTGATTTATAAGTTTAAGTGCAGTTATCATGAAGTTATTATTTATGTTAAACTGTTAACATAAATTACTTACATTTTTTAATTTGATTTAGACCAATTTTCCTACTTTTAATGACTTTTGTGTTGTCTCTCATTTGTTTAAGAGTTTAAGTTCTTGGTTAAGTATTTGTTGACTGGCCATACCATTTTTGATTGGCTGATTATTGTTTGCTAAATGTCCAGTGGGAAATATTTCAGGCAAACTCAGGAGGGGAACAAGTTAACAATTAATACAATAGTTCTGCAAAGTGCATTCATACTAAGACATCATTTAGTTTTCCTGAACATCAACATACTGTAGAAAAACTTTGACAATTGAAAAAAAGTAGCATCATGCTACATTTTGTCAAACACAACAGATATTTCATAACACAAAATGTAATTTGATTACTGTTTGAAGGGCAATTGTACATTTGTCCTTTCAAAATATGCACACATAAAGTATCCTCACATTTAAAATAAAAACATTAAATTTTATTATTTAGTACTTAAGAAAATAAAACAACTTTCAAAGAAAAGGAGATAACTTTCAATTAATTTTTTTTAAATGTTCCCTAGGTTATGACTACATATATACTAAATACATGAACTCTTTGCCACTGGATGTAAAACAAACAACAACCAATCAATTTAAATCCAAAAGTTAGGGACACTCACTGTTCTCAACCTAAAGAAGAATAACTTCAGATAGACCATATACATTTATTTTTCCATCCATTTTCAAGCAGAATATAGCAGATGAGATAGAGTTGTAGAAATACTAGTCTTCTATAACAGAAGAAATATTCAGAAATAGTGTTAATTGTTTTAGTGCTTGAGAATGTTGAAAGTTATCATTGAGGTTAATATTAACAATAGTTTAACATTAGAATTTTGATCAGTTTACATTCTGATTAAATCCAGATTTATTTTATTGTAGTGTTATGCTGTAGTTAAAAATTCTCTTTTTATAGTTGTATACTTCATCTGACTGGTAATGCTATTAAAACATTATAGAAAGTTCCACTAATGGTAAAACCAATACTAGCCTTATTATGATTGTGAAATATTTTGTCATAAATCTTAACTTTAGATTGTAAATCAGGTAAACATTTTTCATCAATAAATAGCATTGTTTTAATGAACTTGGGAATTGGAAATTGTGGCAATATGCAAAGTGGTAGTAAGGCTGTTAAAAATAAACTGTTTCCACGACTCTCTAATTAAAAAATAGTTTGAAACAAATTGGTTTCAAGTGTGATTTAGTGGTCTTCCCTTGTTTAATTTCCTTTTGTCTGTTGATGAAGTGTTGATGATATTGCTCTCTTTCATCATTACATCATATGAAATACACATAGGGGCATAGTTAAATTGCATAAAAAGGAATACTTTAGTTTTGCATCAATGGATTAGATATTTTTGATTGGAATTAAACTCTTTTAATAGCTAAACTGACTATGTTGCAAACGAATTCTTTATTTGTTTGGTAATTTTATTTGCTCTATTGCTCTTTTGGTCATATACATGTAGCTTTTCATTCGGGTTTTCACTTTTTTGGGGAGGTACCTGATGATGGTAAATCAAGGACAGTACATTAATGATGTGTTATTTCTAATTTGATACAGAATTTTTGGTCAGAGGATTCTTGATTTTGTCTTATTATGTCTAATCTTTTGGTGATGATTAAAGATAAAACATGTGCAATATCAGAAAGGAGCCGCATGTCATAACATGGTTATGTCCCTTAGACCTTTATCATGATCTTTGATGTGTATGTTTTTTCAATTAAATTAGATTTTATCCAATAAAATGAATTTGATTGCAGATTTCCTGTTGGTATTTTTCCAGCATATTCATGTCTCAGAATTAAGTAATAAATGTCTAAATTTTAAACAAATCTTAAAAGCAATTGCCTTTTATCTCATAGACTTAAAAGCAATTCATTTATAGATGGAAACTTTGATACAAACATAAGTTTAGAGATTTAGGTCATAAAATATAAGGATTAAAACAGTTGTCATTTAAACCTGGAGGTTTTATACTTTTGTAACTTTTTTGTAAAATGGGCAAGATTACTGTTATCAAAGAAGAAGTCAGCTGTGATTTAAAGTTAAACATTAAAAATAAAACATATTTTACCTGATTAGTATGCACCAGGGCACAATACACCTCCCTTGTCAGATAATAAGAAGACTGATTGATTGTTCATAGCTCAAAATTACATTCATGTCTTGAAAAAATGAAGATTTTTTTGTAGATACCATGCAATGGGAGGATGAGCATTATTATTTACAGTATAACAGTGTATTATTTGACGAATTTCATAAAAAGATCAAAAACTATTATGGAATCTTGTTCGTCTTGGATTATAGTTGGTTTTGTATGCTGAAATTTAAGTAATTTTTCACATCACAAAAGTTATATACACATAAAAAACTATAGCTAAAATTATTTCTTTCTTGTATTTCTCTTTCTGTATGCATTTAAATAAATATTTTATATAACGTAAAACAAAAAAACTATCATTTAGATAAAAAAAAAGGCCGTTTTTTTTACAAAAAAATCCGTAATATGTGGGTGTGCTACAGAATTTGAAATTCTTAGTCTGCATCTCATCTAATGAAAATTTTGTGTTTTACCAATGAATGAGGTCCATTAAAATGTAATTTAGCTTGAACACGCAGACCTTTATGTTAGAGTACAATTCTTACAGTTTTCTAGACTGCTATGCATCTTTTATTAATGTGACAATTGATTTTTGTCAGAAACATTCCATTAATTATGAAAGTGATAGACATAAAATGATAGAATATAAAGGTGTTAATTGTAAGTTGTTCAAAGGCTACTCTATTGTACAATTCCTATCTCGTAGACTTAAAAAGTGCAACACAAACTCCATTCCCAGGTTATTCTATATCATTTCTCATTAAATATAGAATAGCTTTTTTATTTTTTCCTCGATACAAGTTTTCCCAAGTGATGCTATACTATGACATTTGACATTGCTCTTTTCTCACACATAACAAAGAGATGTAAATGTTTCTTACAAAAGACACATTTTTTTTTTAACAGATACGGAAACTATATTTTCAAATTAATTTAAAGACAAAGTTAGAAAAAAATCCTGTATGATTGACAAGTCAATAATAAAACTTGCTCCCTTGTGAAATTGAACTTTATGAGAGAATGTTAAATAGAACAAATGTTGTAGTCCCAATAGAACTGAACCAATTATCTGGGTGATAGTTTCTAGGAATTGTCATTTTATTGTACATCTCTTATACCAATTATAGTTATCTTAAAGTGCCAATGTTTAGAATAAATATTGATCAATTACATTCTTTTATGGGTAAAACTTTGTATGGGACATGCTTTCCTAAATAAACATGTGCTTCATAGTAATAGTAATTGCACTTTTTACACTTTCTGTCTCTTCTTCCTTTAATTGTCAAGACGCCAGAACAAAAAAATTGTATGATGCAAAATCTGTTGATATTTTTTTAAAGTAGAGGTAATTCTAGGTTGATAATATCAAAAAGCATTTCATTGAACAAAAATAGCCATTTCTCTCATAAAAGTACTATTTATTTTAAGGTGTTGGAATCAAGTATCTCCTTCATGCACTGGCTCTGTTTGGCTATTATTTAGGTCAGCTCTTCAACATTTGTTCTATGTTTTGGATTTTCAAATTTTTGGCCTCCAACATCACTGAAGAGACTTTAATTGTGAATTGCACTTCTGGAGTTGTAAAATTTATACTGTAAAAGTTATTTTATACATTATTTTCTTCATATTTAGTTAATTGATTTGTATACAAATACAGTAAAAATACTTTTCTTGTTTAGGGTACCGGATTTCTTTGATTTCATGGCTAATCAAAAACCATGAAAAAAATAATTTAGGTATTTCAAGTTGATTTGTGTGGAACCTTGAACCACAACTAATGATGATTAAAACCCTGAATTAAGCATTCTTTTAAAATTAACATCAAATTCAGAAAAAAGGTATTAAAATGTGTCCCCATAGTTTATCAGTAGTCTTTGATGTAATGAAGTAGATGTGTGTTAGCACAGAAAAAATTGATATATTAGATTT